CCTTGAACCTTTGGCTTATTCTTCATCTCATTCCATATAGGTAAAATCGAATGGTAATTCTCAGATGAGCCTGCTGCTCCAATCAACTTCTGAGAGCGATGACAAACAGGCTTCCATATTTTTCGTCAATTCTGATGATGTCCCCTTCCTAGACAAGTTAAAAAACCAATATGGACCAGTGATTTGTGTAACGGGGGAGAAAACAAAGAGAGAGAACCTAATGGGTGCACCTTGGATCTTACATGAGTCTAGTATAGCGATGAATGATTCTACAATAACCAATATGTATCTCTGTGGCTACATGAAGAAGCAAGACCAAGAGGCACCAAAATTAGATGACAGCTCTGACTATTTTGCATCTCTTGGTCATATCAGCATAAAAAATTCCTCAGAAGGCACAAAATTCCCGTCAGCTGACTCGTGGAGTACTCACGTAGAGGATGTGACATGGATCTATGATCCAGATGGTACTAAAAAGGCGACCCTCACCCTTATTTGGGAGCTAAAAGAAGAGAATGCCAAGTCAGTATTTACGAAGTATAACATCTACGTTCAGAAACTTGGCGATCAAGATAGCAAGAAGAAATTTCTTGGGGTTGCTAGAGTTGAACGTTTCTATGTATCAGATCTCGAAGTTCCTATTGGCGGTATAGGAATAAAGTTCATTGTTCAGCCTTGTGGACCTGATGGTGCTTGCCAAGAAGTTGATCAGTGTCCTGCACAAGTTTTGGCTCAGTAGAAACATTGTTGGTTCCTGTATTAATATTTTGCGTAATAAACTGTGGTTTTTAGTAAAGAATAAGGGGTAGTAACCCAAAATAAATGTGCGCTTGTGTATTGTTATGTAGTCCTTATTATTGGATGTTGTATTTGGTATCATTGAAGTATTTATGAATAAAATGCCTGGAAGGCTGTAGCATTGTTTTACGTTTACAATAAGTTGTTGGTCCTGAAAAATACTATCATATTAGTGTAATAATAATTGTTTTATTAATATGCTTGATTCGTGGTATAATTTAGAGTGACTACAAAGTGCTGATATAATAATAACGACGTACCATTCTATTGTCGATTATGTTTATAAATAGGTCATGCCACGTCAACAGTAGCATCAGTGGTCTAGTGGTAGAATAGTACCCTGCCACGGTACAGACCCGGGTTCGATTCCCGGCTGGTGCATTTCTACTCTACCGTATCTTTTAATTTTTAAAAAATTTGCACTTTAAATACGCTAAGGTTTTTAAAACTAGCACTAAATACCCCTTGTTATGCAATTTTTTTTTTAATTTTTAAAAAAAGTCTGCACTTGAATACACTATAGTTTTTAAAGGAAAAATTGCTTCAAGCCCCCAAAATTGAAAATATAATGTGCAACAGCCCCCTGTACTTTTAAAGTTTGGTATAAACCCAAAATACACTCCAAAACTTCATTTTAGCCCCTCCAGCTCACTCAATCCTCAGAATCCCGAATCTACCCTTCCCGCCCACTCTGCTACAGCCTCCGTTATATTTAACATGTTAACCAGAATAGTTAACATGTTCTCCACAAAAGTTAACATGTTATCTATCAGAGTTAACATATAGCCACAAGAGTTCACATGTTATCTACAAGAGTTAACATATTAGCAACAAGAGTTAACATGTTTTTAACAAAAGCTAACATGTTTTTCACAAAAGTTAACATGTTCTCTATAAGAGTTAACATGTTCTCGACAAGAGTTAACATGTTTTCGACAAGAGTTAACATGTTTGCCACAAGAGTTAACATGTTTGCCACAAGAGTTAACATGTTTTCAATAAGAGTTAACATGTTCTCCACAAGAGTTAACATGTATTCCAAAAAAGTTAACTATATGAACTTGAATCATGTTCACATATTAAAGGCCGCTATTTCTTAATGTGTTAATTTTGTGTAACAGCATTCACTCTATGGAGACCAGGCTGATCTGCGGCTATATGAACTATATGAACTTTATATACAACAACATATTACCGCTGGCCGATCAATACTCATATTGCCAATTGTTCGCCATGACCATTGGCATTGTGTCGAAGTTAGATTGAATGAAAATTTAGCGTTGCACTATAGTTCGGTAACTCCCGAAGCTTACCTTGAGCCCGTTAACAAAATTATAAACTTCATGGACCATATGAAGGCCGCATTCGATCTGGAAAAGGTGTGTAGGGCATTTAAATATAAGGAAATCTCATGCGAGTCTCAAAAGGGAAGGTACATTAACATATGAACCTTATTTTATTAAAGAATTTTCGTCTCCAAAACTGACCGTTAATATGTATTTATGTTTTGTTATTTGTAGCTACGATTATGGGATATATGTATACCTTTATGTACGGGCTATCCTACATAAAGGTGATGTTCGACATGTTACGCCCGCCGATGATTCGTCTGCGGTAGTGCGTGCAAGGCTTGCTGCGGAACTAATAAAAGAAGGCTGGGAATTCAGAAATAGAAAGGGTTAACATGTTACAGCCTAATGAAGAATGCTATGAGCCGCAAATGTTACAGCCTAAGGAAGAATGCTATGTAGATAAACAACTGTAAACAATCTTCATAATTTTCAGCTTGTATAGTGTATTAACAGCTAATGAACTAGTGCCCGGAGAAAGTTTATAACATGTTAGATTCGTAAGTTAACAATTATATCATGTCATCTTTACTTGTTAAATATGGAGAAAGTTTATAACATGTCAGGTTCATTTGTTAAATAATACCATATACGGATAAAGTTAACATGTTATCATCAAGAGTTATCATCAAGAGTTAACATGTTACCAACAAGGGTTAACATGTTATCAGCAAGGGTTAACATGTTAACATGTTATCAGCAAGAGTTAACATGTTCTCCACAAGAGTTAACATGTATGCCACAAGAGTTAACATGTTATCGAAGAAAGTTAACATATTTCCAACAAAAGTTAACATAATATCCATAAGAGTTAACATGTTTGCAGCAAGAGTTAACATGTTTGCATCAAGAGTTACCATGTTTTTCACGAGAGGTAATATTTTCTCCACAAGAGTTAACATGTTTTCAACAAGAGTTAACAGGAATCATTATAATTCACATTGGCATTGATATATTTCAGTTCATGTACACAGTTAACTACAAAAGTATTAAATACACCCAAATATGTTTCAGTTCATATACACCGGTAACTACAAGAGTCAACATGATGACAACAAGATTTAACATTTTATTATCATGAGTTTACATGTATCAACAAGGGTTAACATGTTATCACCAAGAATTTACTTGTAATCAACAATAGTTAACATGTTGCTTACGAGAGTTTTGTTATGTCAAAGAGTTAACAGTTATAAAAGAAAGTTAACATATTTCCAACAAAAGTTAACATGTTCTCAACAAGCGTTAACATGTTCTCCACAAAAGTTAACATGTTTTCAACAAGAGTTAACATGTTTGCAACAAGAGTTAACATGTTTGTCACAAGAGTTAACATGTTTGCAACAAGAGTTAACATGTTTCTAACAAGAGTTAACATGTTATCCATCATGTTATTTACAAGAGTTAACATGACATGTTATCCATCATGTTATTTACAAGAGTTAACATGTAATAGGTGTAGCTTAATAACCTACCAAGAAAATTTTATATGTTAACTGTAACTTAACAATCTAACTGAGTAACTTTACAGACCCAAGTATGATAACATTTTCATTATAATTCAGATTGGCATAGATATATTTCAGGTCATATACACAGTTAACTACAAAGATATTACATACACCCAAATACGTTTTAGTTCATATACACCGGTAACTGTAAGAGTCAACATGATGACAACAAGATTTAACATTTTATCATTATGAGTTTACATGTATCAACAAGGGTTAACATGTTATCACCAAGAGTTTACTTGTAATAAACAATAGTTAACATGTTACTTACGAGAGTTTTGTTATGTCAAAGAGTTAACAGTTATCAAAGAAAGTTAACATATTTCTGACAAAAGTTAACATGTTATAAACAAGCGTTCACATGTTCTCCACAAAAGTTAACATGTTTTTCAAAAGAGTTAACATGTTTGCCACAAGAGTTAACATGTTAGCCACAAGAGTTAACATGTTTGCCACAAGAGTTAACATGTTTGCCACAAGAGTTAACATGTTTTTCACAAGAGTTAACATGTTTGCAACAAGAGTTAACATATTAGCCACAAGAGTTAACATGTTTCTAACAAGAGTTAACATGTTATCCATCATGTTATTTACAAGAGTTAACATGTAATAGGTGTAGCTTAATAACCTACCAAGAAAATTTTATATGTTAACTGTAACTTAACAATCTAACTGAGTAACTTTACAGACCCAAGTAAGATAACATTTTCATTATAATTCACATTGGCATAGATATATTTCAGGTCATATACACAGTTAACTACAAAGGTATTACATACACCCAAATACGTTTCATTTCATATACACCGGTAACTACAAGAGTCAACATGATGGCAACAAGATTTAACATTTTATCATCATGAGTTTACATGTATCAACAAGGGTTAACATGTTATCACCAAGAGTTTACTTGTAATCAACAATAGTTAACATGTTACTTACGAGAGTTTTGTTATGTCAAAGAGTTAACAGTTATCAAAGAAAGTTAACATATTTCTGACAAAAGTTAACATGTTATAAACAAGCGTTAACATGTTCTCCACAAAAATTAACATGTTTTCCAAAAGAGTTAACATGTTTGCCACAAGAGTTAACATGTTAGTCACAAGAGTTAACATGTTTGCCACAAGAGTTAACATGTTTTCAACAAGAGTTAACATGTTTGCCACAAGAGTTAACATGTTTGCCACAAGAGTTAACATATTAGCTATAAGAGTTAACATGTTTCTAACAAGAGTTAACATGTTATCCATCATGCTATTTACAAGAGTTAACATGTAATAGGTGTAGCTTAATAACCTACCAAGAAAATTTTATATGTTAACTGTAACTTAACAATCTAACTATTGCAAGTTGCGCGGTTGTGGCCTTCGGAGTGGCATCGAGAGCATTTCAAAGGTCGTTTGTACACTGTTCGATTGTTGATACGTCTTGTTTTATTTCTCCCCTTTCTTTTGATAGTATGTGGTGGAAGTAGCTCGATCTCATCCCTTGGCACGCTTCGTTTCTCATAATCTGGTATAGGATAGAGAATCGGGTCATAGCTCTTTTTAAATGCTTCTATGGACATAAACCAATCGCAATATTGGTAAATGTCTCTCTTCATGTACGAGATGACTGCACATGCATGTTTACACGGAATCCGCATGACGTCCCAAGCACGGCAAGTGCATGTCTTCTTCTCCAAATCAACACGGGTAGTTTTATGTGCTTGCACTTCAAATATGTCAGCTGCAGCTTGCTTAACATCCAATGGACGACCTTTCTCTATATTTTCTTTAAGCACCATCTCTGCTTGTGGACAGAGATATCCAGCCCATTTATCTCCAAGTAACCGGCGATTACTCATTCGGACCATTATCTGTTTACGGATATGCTCAACCATTTGTAGAATCCGTAGCATTCTAGCTTCCCTTATCCAATTATTAAAAGACTCAGCGACATTAGATGTTACGTGCCCATACCTGAAATTATATATAACTTTATAACAGGTCACAAATAAAGGTTAACAAATAATTGAATAGGGTTAACATAATATGAATTACAGGTAACAGTTAACAGGTTATAAATAAGGGATGACACAAATAGTTGAATAGAGTTATTTTTTTTGTATTACAGTTAACATGTTTACATATAATAGTTAACATTTAACAGTTAACATGTTTTCTATAAAAGTTAACATGTTATCCACAAGAGTTAACATGTTATCAACAAGAGTTGACACGTTACCACAAGAGTTAACAATCCACAAGAGTTAACATGTTATCAACAAGAGTTGACACGTTACCACAAGAGTTAACATGTTAGCAACGAGACTCAACATATTATCAACAAGACTTAACATGTTATCAACTCTGATATAGTTAACAGCTCTGATATGGAATTTAACAAATCCAAAGATAACATGCTAAATAGCATAAGTTCATACATTAGCATAGATATAGAACAGAAAGATAACATGCTAAATAGCATAAGTTCATACATTAGCATAGATATAGAACAGCCAAATAACGTTACCTTATTCCCGGGAAGAATGCATTTGCCCATTGATCAGGAGAGTAGTTCATAGCAATGTTGTATGCCCTTGGATCCATGTCATATATCTCTTTCATGTACTCATTCCATTCTGCTATTGTGTATTTATAACAAGCACTTTGGAGTAAGTTCCCAAGAACATGAGTGTCCTTCGACTTCATACCCAAGTCCTTAAGCTTTAACCTGAAATTTTCAACAAGATGTAGAACACACCTCGAGTGTAGAGCTTCTGGAAAATACTCTTTTACTGATTCTTTAATTCCTTTGTCCGCATCAGAAATTATAACCAATTGGTGGGGAGGATTGTAAGGGTCAGCCCTCTCATAAAGTATGGACCATAGACCTTGGAGGAACCACTTCCAATTCATCAAATTCTCTTGATCACATATGCAATACGCTAAGGGAAATATACCTTGGTTCCCATCGTATGCTATGGCCGAGAGGAGAATACCTTTATATCGATCCTTCAAAAATGTACCGTCCAAAAATAGAAGGGGTCTGCATCCACTCAAGAAACCTTTGATGCATGCAGCATAACAAACAAAGAGTCTCGAAAACCTCCCCTCATTCTGGTCAACATGTATGTAACTGCCGGGATTTGTCTCTTTTACCATGCGCTCATACCTAGTCGTGTAAGAAGAAACAAACCAACAAGTTAACATGTTATCCGTGTAGCTTAACAAGCGACCAAAAAAAGCTAACACATTATTGGGGTAACTTAACAAAAGTTAACGTGTTATTTACAAGAGTTAACATGTTATTAACAAGAGTTAACATGTTATTTACAAGAGTTAACATGTTAGTCGTGAAACTTAACATGTTATCAATGTTATCAATGAACTTAACAAGGAACATGTTAACTATTTGTTTTAACAAGCAAACTTTGGAACTTAACAAGTTAATAATAAAGCTCAGCATTTACCATCGTAGTTGATCATACGACTCATATATATCCCCGTAAAGCTTCTCCTGTGCTCTCTCTTTCCCCCACCATATCTTACTGTAATCAATTCTAAGGCCGTAGTTTGTGAGGAACTCCTTTTGCACATCAACGGGTCGGATTTCTGGACGGACCTTCAGGAGTGGTTGTAACTGTGTTGCAATGAATTTACGGGATGCCCTTGAACGACCTGTATTTTGCCCGTACTGCCCACAAGTATGTTCATTAACAAACTTCTTGATCGATAGTCTATTTGCATTCTTAACAGGTGAAGCAAACAACATCCATGGGCACTCGTAAGTTTCTTTATATCGGCAATATACACGGATACGTTTTGGTTCGTTCTTTTTAAACTCATAATCAAACATTTTGGCCAGAGAATAGTATGTCAGCGCCAACCTTAATTCTTCAGTGCTTTCAAATTCTTGACCCTCTTCAGTTAATGCATTATGCCACCAACCAGGAATCATTACTGTGTTGTTAATAATGTCATCAGAACGCACTACACTGCTACCACTGGGATTATCAATTGGAATTCTTTCAGAACCATGGTTTGCGGCAGAAGTACTATCAATAAACTTTGGCTTCAGTGTATTCATAATGCTGCACAAATATAATTGGTTTTTCTTAAAATAACAAATAGGACTTGTACTTAAATAATGCAGTACCCTTAAGAGTTAACAAATATGCCCTAAAGCTTAACAACCTTCGGTAGAAAGTTAACATATATCAGTTAAAAGCTAACATTTAACCTGCTCTATGCAATTCATAAGTTTTCAAATAAATTAAGTGTAAATATAACTTACATTTCAGGAGGTTGCTTCGGGGTGTTCTCACATCTGGAAACATCTACATCTATATTAGCTCGAATATGGATCTCCAGACACCCGATATTACGGTTGTGCTCCACCATACACTCCATATCATCCTCATTCTCGATCTCAAAACTCAGATCAGGGATCCTTTCAGATTTATTAACCATTGATAGCGCATCATATGGAACCTTCAACCTCTCAGCCACGTCGAACTTAAACTCAAAAAAAGAGGTTGCAGAAGTTACCCTTGAGAACACTGCTCTCTCACCCAAGGAAACCATGCAAATAAGGGGGCTCTCCGCCATAAATGAAGGGGATTTAAGAGGAGTTATGAAGGGCAATTTAGGACAAGTAGGGGGTTGAAGATCATAAGCCCTAACCGCAAAGATCTGCCCTTTGCACCATAAATACACTCTCTTCAAAGCCGAGTGGGTTAACAGGAGATATAACGGAGGGAGCGCGCCAAAATTTCCCCCCAAAACGGCCATCATCTCGCCTTAAATGCGACGGAGAGGTTTCGCCAGCGATCGGATCTCGTTTTCGAGGCACAGAGTTGAAGGCGGGGGTATTTTTAGGGAGGCTGGGTGCAAATACATGTGTGAGAACTGCTTTTAGGGCTCAGTTATAATTTTTTAAAAATTTAAGGGCTTAGCCACATGGGCCAAACTACAGGGGGCTGGGCCACATTGTATTTTCAATTTTGGGGCCTTGAAGCAATTTTTCCGTTTTTAAAACTAGCACTTAATTTCCCTTAGTTATGCAAATTTGAGGGTTTTTAAATTTAAGTTAGAAACAATTTAGGAATTTAAATGCCAATTTTAAAAAGTTCAAAGTATCTTAAATGCAAGTTTTAGAAAATTTAGAGTATTTAAGTCCTGTCAAAAAAAGTAAGAAGAAAAAAAGTAAGGGTATATCAGTTCAAGTTTTATAAATTACAAGGTAATAATAAGTCTTTATCCAAAAAAACAAGTGAGGGTATACAAGTGCAAAATAGGTGAAACTATAGGGCGTCCAAGTGCCATTAAAACCTCCTAACTTTTTGACACCCCCCGCGCCCTTTCTCTGCCTCCAAGCAGCAGGTCCGTTCGTTTCTCGGCTCTCGATTGAAGACTGAAAAAGGTGCCTCTGCTCTTGCTACTAACAACAACAATCAACTCCAAGGCAACATTTTTTATCCCAAAACTACCCTCGTCAATCCCCCAAATTCTCCCCTAAATCATTCCACTAACCCTCTGTGGACGAAACCACCGCCGACGACTCCGACCTTGAACCCGACATCGCAGATCGAGAGACCTCCAATCGCCAGATCTCCTCCCACGCCGACTCCGAACCCGATAACCCTAACCCTAGTTCCTCTTCTCTGTCCGTTTCCAACGGCGGTGGGGAAACGGATGATGGGCAGCAGGAGGCGGAGGAGTCCGATC